TTCGTTGTATAGGATGCAAGCGGATTTTGACATCAAATTTTGGGGGTAAAAAAGTGGGTCTTTTACACTGAAAAATATGGTAATTTAGATTTATTTAATTTTATTTTGGTGGTTATGAGGTTGGTCAATTTGACCAACCCCATATAAAGTTAGGGTAGAGAAAATAACAGGTAAAATATAAAGTGTTACTGTAACCAAATGTTTGAAATGTATTTAGGAGGTTTCAGAGATTACACAAATGATATTTGAGATTTTGGAGATGAAGAATTGTTTTTTTAATCATAACATGAAAATCACTTAGCACTCGGACTAGTAATGAAACAGACTCAGTATTCACAACAAGTCTTTTGTAAAAATACTTCATTGAAAAATCTGATTTTTTGTGTACAAAAGTTTAGTAAAGTTTACTAAAATTCTGCCACATTTTGTGAAGATACACATACTGCATTAAAAGGTACAGTATAAATACTTAACTTGTGCAAATGTGTATACAAACTAGTGTATTTTATACTTGACCAGTCACAAAAGGGTTAAGCAATCAGTGAGTACTCTTCCTCCAGATGCTTTGGCCACCTATCTCAATTCCAAATTATTATTTTTGATTTCCAGCCCCTCATCCTTTGGCTTTAGTGGTAGATGCCTTTATTCAGGTTTGGTTTATTTGTACACCTTCGCTCCTATCCATTTCCAGGGTTTTATCCATCATTCGTGTCATTCTGATTGCACCTTTCTGACCAACTTGCACTTGGTTCACAGTCCTTATTCACCTTCTGAAAGCACCCCCGTTACTACTTCCTCTATCCCAATCCCTCCCTTGTCAACATTAGTCACTGGTATTTTCTCCTGCAATCATCACACTTTGGCTTCAGTCATGGCTTTTGTTCGGCCTCTTGCAAGGTGGCTTGGACTATACACACATGTAGTTTCCTTTCTTTCCCATTGTATATGCCCTTTTTCCCACATGGTATATCAGAGAAATTGGTGTATATTTCATCATTGATTTCTGCATCAGATTACCTTCCTTTTCATCCAATTATGCCTTTGGTCTCTGATTTTTTCCCCATGCTGTTAGAGTATGGTTCTTTTGTATATACCATTGCTGGATATTGAGCATCCTTCTCAAATACCCTTTGTTGCAGTTCTTCTGGATCTTTCACCCTCCTTGTCCTACATTCTTTCCAGATTTTGCATCCTAGTATAGTTCTCCATGCCCTTACATGAAACCTATTTGAACCTTTGGCTACCTGTTCATTTTACCATGTATCTCTCAAAACTGTTTTTCTACTCCTTTTTGCCTATGGTCATTACAAGTTAAATAATTTGCCATCACACATCACATGTTCCTTACCAACATGCCTGTATTCTCCTGTATTCAGACACAGTTTTCTGCCTAGGACATTGATGGGTCATGAAAGCAATGTCTCCTTTAAACCAGTCTCCCTACCTTCCATTTCTCATTTGTCTTCCTATTCAGATCCAGATAGACTTCAATGTCCTGTGTGAATTTGCAGATGTTATATTGCCTGCATGACTTCCTTCCATAGTTCCTGTTCCCATTTATATTTCCTTGGAACTCAAAGATGTTTCACATACCACCCTCTACACTTACATTTACCATCTTATCAGAATGGCTCATTTTGGTTTCTCGGTTCTCAACATTTGTTGGGATTTTTTTAGGTGCCATCTCTGTTATCTTTTGGAAGACATCATCCAGGCTGGCATTTGGACCACACTGACCACATTCGTCTCCCATTATCTGCATCATGTGACCATATCTGCATATTACATACTGCCTATTGCCATACTCCACATATATATTTCTATATTTCCCTTGTTATATTTATATTTCCTATATTTTCTATGTTGGATCCCTCTCTGTGACAAGTGGTGCCTGTCCAGGTATACTAATTCTTAAATTCGCACTGTATGGCTCTGAAGATCTATTACACCCACTGTTGAGATGGGGTATTTGACAAGACCACTTGTAGGTTCTTCCTCGCAGTGTTTTGCATCATAAATATGTCTGTCCATGGACTGTACACTCAAGAACTAGTGTGAGTAAAGCAAAAGGAGATTGCTGCCCATCCCTGCCACTTTTTCAATTGAATAAATGAGGAATAGCCTGCTTTTAAGAATAGGGTTTTGCAGTCACCCACTGTACTTTCTCTGGTGCTGCATTCCTCTGGACTCTCCAACACATTTCCTCCCCTTCTTTCAGTGGAGTACAGGAGTCTTTATCACTAACCAGTTCCTAGCTGCTGGGGTGGTGGACCATGGAAGCTTCCTTCTAAGTGTGCTCAATCACACTCAGTTGAGAGTAGGATGGTGGTATTCTGCAGGTGTAGATGGTGTTGCACTCTCCTCCTACTGCAAACCTGATGTACAATTCCAGATGCTGTTTGGTTTTGGACTGGATGAGTTCACCAGTAAAGGCAATTCACTCCCTCTGGCTGGAACCCCTCATTCTACTACGACCTGAAAGTCAATTCCCAGGTGGTATGATGATGGATTATAGCTAGACCAGCCAACATAAATCCTCACATGTGAGTGAGCTGGCACCCTCTTCCTACTGCAAACTTGACAATCCATTCTCAAAGCCACATGGTTTTGGATTAGACTGAACCTCCACATTGCATTCGATCTACCTGCCATCATCTAGATGTTGGTTCCTGGAGGGACAGGTGTTGATCATATTGGATATGCACACATGATGGCTTGTGTTTTCAGAACAGATGTGCTTAGTTCCTGAGATTGAGGTGAATGGTAGAGGGCCTACTTCCTACCGTGTTGTTCTCCTATTGTTGGAGGTTTCCTGCATGCTTATTTGAGACTTTGGATATGAATCACTAGTACTAGTGTTTATTGGATAAGTTGTTCAATATGAGATCTGGAATATGAATCAGTTGTAGTGTTTATTGGACTGGCTGGTCATTGTAAAACCTAGAATATGAATTAAAAAATGAGTGAAGATGAGCCATTAAAAAAAAAATTAATAAATACTGTCCCCAGGGGCAAAATTATAGCCATAATTTGCATAATTAATCAAATAAGAATTGCTGCAGCTGTCTGAAAGTATTTGGATGCTGGCTACAAGTGCTGTCAGTATGACTCTACAAGAGAAGGCAGGTCTCAACTTAGGTAATTACTGGTCAGGGGTCAGCTCAAGACCACATTTCACTGGGATGCTATTTAATGACTATCCATGCTGAAAGATGTGATCCAACATGAAGTTGTGTGGTCATTTTCAACATAATTTCACTACTGGATGCTGTAGCTTTGATTAATGGAGGACACATTGAACACACAGTGTAGAAATAAGCAACATTTATTAACTTATTTTATTGGCTTATCTTGTCCCCCCAGTTGTCACCTTCATACATCCTCAATTTCAGAATTTTGACACTGTGAAATGGCCAAGTACTTAATGGCCACCTTGTAGTGTGCAACATTTGTTATAAAGAAAATTGTCGGTAAGCGATAGGTCAAATTCAGCTTGCCAAGCAATTGCATCATTACCCAATAGTAACATTCATATTTTTACCTATTGAACCTGAAAGTTCATTATTTATCTCATGTATGAAATTAGTAGTTTTGTGTACTGACCTGTGTTAGTAAATTTTTCTTTATAATTTCAGCACTTCAGAAAGTTGGTCAGGCTAGTGAGCAGGAACTAGAGATTGTGGTTGGAAAAGGTAGTGCTCAGAAAGTTTATGACTTCTTTCACAAGGCTTCGACTTGACATTTCAAGTGACAATTTGTTGAAGAATTCCTTTGAGAATGAATCTGTATATATTTTTTATTGAAATGCCAAAACTAAACACTTTATAAATAATTATACTGCTTGGATTAAAATTGAGTCAAGTGTGGGTTTCAGATTTAAGCTTTTTTGTAAATTATAATTTTGTCTGAGCTTGTATCCTTTCAAATTTCTCTCAACATTCAAAAGTTAGGTATGAAAATTTTATTTATTCAAAATGCTGGTTTATCGACAGTGCTACGATTGAAGTGTAATAATAATGTTGATCTATATCTCTTATGTCAAATGCTGTACTGATAAGCACTTAGTTTAAGGTTATTATTGGTATGCAACAAAAGGAAAGAAAATGTCACAAACTATTTGAATTTCGATATTTATAATAAGATTAATGTTATCAGGATGACTTGCCGCTAATGTGCAGTAAACCACATTTTTTTGAATACTTGGATTGAAATACCGAAAGATTTTTCATTCCAACAATGGAATAAAGAATATTTGAAAGGAAAGACAGTCGAGGTAACTAACAATTTTTAAGTCATTACACTGAATGTTCTTTTATAAATTAAAATTTTTGTCTCGATTTCATATTCGTATAGGAAAAGTAGAAAAGACCTTGAAATGCTGACAATGTTAAGCTAAATAAAAATCCTATTTTTCAAGTACTTTATTATTTTGCTTAAGATCAGGAAATGAAATATTACTAAAGCTTCATTTTCTTGACACTTGTGACTTTTTTGTGTTGTACATATATGCACAGAAATGATCATAGAAAAATTTGTATATATTGTTTAATAAATGCACTCATATAGTAATATTAAACTAAGTTGTAATAACTAATCAATGTCGGATGCTGTATTCATATTTTTTTAGCAGTGTAAACATTAAAGGCAACAATCTTATATTTGGTGGGTTTAGTTTTTGCAATATTGTTTTTCACTGTAGTATTTCAGTCATCAGTATACAGTAAAGTGAAATAAGAATAATAATTAAAAAAATTATTATAAACTCACAGTTCGAGAAGCACTCGAAGAGGCTTGGCAGTAAGTCTGGGCTTATAATGCTAAAAACTGGGTTTCAATATCTGTAGTGAAATTATTCACCAAAAACCACTCAATTTTGACCAGAATTTTTGCATGCACCTACACTAAAAGTCACATGAGCTCTCAGTCTAACATTTTTACTACAGCTTCACCTAATAGTAAAAGTGGACTGTTTTTTGTCACTTGAATTAAAGATGGCTGATTTGGAGTGGAAAAACTATAACATGAAAGGAAGCACAGATAAATAAGTATTGGTTAGGCCAAGCAAACTAGATTAGCAATTTCTAGCTCAAGTTTTTTTTTCTCCTAAGTTCAGTAATAGCATATACGTCCAAATAACTATATATACCTGTACCATTAGATTTCATTTCATGGAAAGCAAGAAATAACAATAATAAAATGAATAAATATAGCCACAAAACAAACATTAAACACTGGGGCACACACCATACAGTTAGCCATTATGTAATGTGCCCTGATTTTGTTGGGATAACCCCAATGCAATTTGGGTCTTACTTTACATTACATAATGGCCTATCTTATGGTATGTTTTCTGGTTTTGGGGCTGCACTTGTATTTATTTATTATCATTATTTCTTGTTTTCCACTAAATTAAATCTAATTATATTTCATTTAAGATTTGGATATGTTGTGTTAAAATCACACTGTCCTTCCTTTTGATGTAATCTGCTGTGAAGGTTTGGCAGACTTGAAAAATGCACTAAAGCTTCGTATACTTCAGTGTGTACTTTCAAAACTGTGGAAACTCGATAGGAAACAAAAACAAACATCTATAGAGAGATTATTTTTATTGTAGATTACAGAAATAGAAAAATGATTTTACAATAATTAATTATGTATTTATATATATATATATATATATTCACAGATGGACAACAAACTTAGTCTATTTTGTCTCTATGAACTGATACATGGCACCAATTACTTCATAAAGCATTTGCTACCATCTACAAGTACAACATATTTATGGTTAGAATAAAAATACATTCTGTACAAAGGTATATATACAGTAAAAAAAAAGTGACTTTTTTATTTTCATCACTTGACTTCTGTTCTTTTTTACATTCGATTAAACAATGGTGTGCTTTGTCATGGCTGTTGCAATTCACTTATAATGGTCTTTTTGGGAAAAGTTTTATTTAATTTTTAGATTTTTTTTTTTTATTGTTTAGATTCACTTTCTTTGAAGAAAATAATAGTACAAAACGCTGTGTTTTACTCCTTAATTCACCATTTTTGAGATACAAGCTTCAAGAAATAGCACAAGTTAATTTTGAAAACCATATTTTTTTGTAATATCTTTCAGTCAGTGTGGAGTTTGGCACCATCAGAAAATTACAGAATCAATAACAATTAATAAACTAGTATATTAAGTGCAAGTGTTTCCAGCTGCTGGTACTAGTGTAATATAATATATATTCCACCCATGTTCTCCCCCAAATATTTCATTAGAATAAATATTACATTATAGTATTATTCAATATGTTAGTGTCATTAACAGTAGCTATTGTTAGTAACTCAACTAAAACCAGTAAGAACAGTTAAGTTATAAATAAGGTCAACTGTATAAAAACTGTAATAATGTCCACCATTATTAGAAATTTGATTCTTTATGTTTAATGGTTGTAAGATTGGGTCATGAGGTTTTAACGGGAAGTCAATCTGTAGTTTCTTCTGTACTACTAAATATCTTCAAACAACGTTTTAACTGATAAATCAAATATTTAGTACTTTACTAGTATTACCCAAGATTACTAAAGTTGGTTAGTTGAAATGAATTACTAATGTTTCAACATTATCATGCAGCATATAAATACTATGTACATGTTAAAACATTTCATATATAATAAAAATTCTTTGTTTAACATGTTTTTTTTTTGTAAAACTAGCAAGTTGTAAAACTAAAATTATATTACAAAATGAATTTCTTGTATATTATAAAACCAAACGTGTTAACAAAAAAATGTAATCCCTTTTCTTTCTCTCTATTACTTAATTCTTATGCCAGTGTGAAGATGCTAATCCAACTATAAGATAAAAAACAAAATAGATAATCTCAATTAGATTTTAAACAGATACTCACTCATTACTAATTTTACGTAAAGGAGAAAACGACATACAATTTTGGTGCAGCACAGTTAACTCATTATACTATCAAACTGTAAATTTTATGTAAAACGTGGTAAGTAACATTTCTTGACACTAAAGGAATGTTTTTGAATTTGTTTGTGTTTTTAAAATAATTAATATGCTTTGTTCAAGTTTATCCTAATATTTGATTGAAATCATAGTGCAATGAGCAAGTATTTTTAAGTATTCATTTTGAACTACAATAAGAAAGAAAATACAGCATAAACCATGGCACAGGCAAGCTTATACGTGGAAAATCAACAATCCACGTTAAACAAAGTCACTTTTTCACCTTCTTGTTCTATACACGATGATCCAAAGGCACTGGAAATATCTCATCTTATTGATTAGACTGATAAATTGGAACAGCCATGAATCACTGTTTAATGATCCAGATTTCTTCTAAATCCTTTTTCTCATTACCTAGAAACTTTCATGCTTCCAGTACAATTTGGCACAGTGGCAACTATCCTTGTGGATTAGTCTCAGATTATGGTCCACAGGTACTTAATTACACCAGTGTGGTTTCTGGCTAATGAAAAGGAATAATTTTCAATAAGTTGTTCATATACTTTCATATAACTTAACAAACTAAGGTAAATTAAAACTCTAAGACCTATCACAAAAAATTATTTGATATTTCTCTTATGTAACTTTTTGTACTTTATGTTTCTGTGCAAATTCAAAAGTATCACATTACACTCATGTGTGTTTTATTTGTAAGTTATTATCAGAAGAATAATGAACATTTGAAGTAACAATTTTTAGGTTAAGTTTTAGGATGATTATGATACATTTTTTTTTTTTATCTGTAGTACTTGCATATTAGAATATACAAGACATAAAAAATAAATCAAATAAACATGTACGACATCAATTGAAAAGTATTCTGCAGTGTTATTATCTATTTTTAAATACTTTAAGAAACTCGAGCCTACAAACTAAAACTTCATAAAAGCATATTAAAATAAACTATCATTTCTAAATATGCTCCTTAAACCTTGAGTTACAGTTTTGAATACAATAATTTACGAGCATACAAAAAAAAAGCTACAACTTACTTCTAGCATTTGTTCTTCAGCAGTAGGACACTCTGAGATGGGAAAATTGGTAATTACAGAGTCATTGGACAATAAGCTGTCACTACGCTCAGCCTTTTTGTAGTGAGGTCTCTCAGACTCCCATGATGAATCACCGGCTGTGCTCAAGTCTATTGAAATACCACTCTCTAAAAGAAACAAATCGTAGTTATATTGAAAGTCACTTAAACTCTGCTTATTTTTCCAATTTGTTTTAGTTTCTTACTTCCTACCACACCTTTAGACAGAACATTTGTTTCAGTTAAGGAATGAAACTTGTTAATAAATGCAGATGGTTTATTTCTTTTTTTTCTTTTTTTCAAACTATTTGAAAATGCAATTATAAACATTCTGAATGAAATAAGCTTTTAGTGTATTTTATATAACAATTAATATTGGCATATGCCTGAGGGTTAATAATGATTTCTGTGATAATATACTCCAAAACTAGGAATCCGATAACTTTAATGCTACAGTTCTAGCATTTAAATCAAAGGATTTCCTAAACTTATGCAAACAAAATGTATTTCAACTACACCAACCTGTAGAACACTGTGATTGCTGGGTAATAGAGCGATAGCCATGTGAAAATCGTGTGTCTCCTGGTTCAAATCCCAGGTTGATAGAACCGGTATGTGGGAATGAAGTGTAACTACTTCCAGAAGAAGATGAACTGCTAATTGAAATTGTGGAGTGTGGTCGCTTATTGTTCCTTAACTGGTCATGTGATGAAACAGCAAAGGAATTCTTGAACCGAAGAGCTGAAAGAGATACCCATTATTAATACATTCAAAAAATATTTCCAAAAGACTGTGGTTTCCAACACATGGCTAAGAGATGCAAGTATAATTTTGAAATCCTTTTGTTTACTCAATGAACAGTTTGAAAGTGTTTTACAGAGACAAGATGTACTATTAACAGTACTTAAATGATCATTTTAACACATACCACCTAGTAAATGATCACTATTTTAACGGCAGCTTTACTGAACTGTTACTAGCTTCAAAGTTTTAGCAATTGTAACACATTTATTAGTGTGTACACACTGCCAGAAGCAAATGCTTAAAATTTGAAATATTTTTTTAACTGCTAAACAAATCTATTACTCCATTTAAAATTTTCTTGAGATTAATATATATTTTTATAAATTTCATCAAAAGTGATAACTTGGAAATCTCATCAATTACTTAACATAAATGTTATAGGCTAAGCACATAAATCCTGTCACTTACTTAACATAAATGTTATATGATAAGCAAGAAAATCCTATAAATTACTTAACATAAATGTTATAGGATAAACATGGAAATCCTGTCAGTTATTTCACTCATGACAAAATCAATATTGACATAAAAGTCTGATGACTTAACCTACCTTGGCTGAGCTGCTGAAAATTTATAGCTCTGTCACTGATCTGATCCTCATTAGGTTTTATATCTAAACATGGCTTGCTGCCAATCCCCATGGATGACATCTCTGCTAGGCGCATTTCTAAGAAAGACAAAATAAATATTATCATGTAACTTGACTGCTACAGGACAGTACATCATAAACACAAGAAACAAGTTATAATTTTATCATAGAGTATGTATATACATAAAAAAACAGCATGTTTTTAACTTTTACAACATCTGGACTAAACTTATGATTTATTGAAATCTAATAAACAACTTCAAGAGAAGCTCACCTCTATTTCTAAGTGCCTGCTTCCACAACAGTTTAGATGTCTCTAAAACCCATGCTTGTTTGACCTCAGGATTGGGAGCTTGAAGAACATATGTGTCATTTTGCTTTCTCTTTCGGAACCAGATCTCAAATTTGTTTGGACTGTCACCAACTTGTTCTGTCATACCAATGTCTGTCATCTAGTGCACCATTAAAAATTGGGTTAAATATCATTAAACAAACCTTTTTATCATGACAAGAGAGCTTAAACCATTATCAGCAGTGGTTCTCAAGTAAAATGTTTTGCAATATCTACATAGAATTACCTTACATAAAGCTTGTGTTTAAACAACTTGAATTATATATATTTTACTTACATTACTTATGTTTAAAATAGCTAAACCAAAATTTTGAATTATGAAACTGATAGATATAAAATGGAAAGTTTACCTTGAAACTATGTTTGTATTGGTATATCTCCTGATTTTTACGTTCTGGGTCACGCCGAGCTTTGCTAAATAGAACAAGATCCTCAAAAAGAAAGACATGTCTTAGAGATTTTCGAGACCTTCCCTGCCATACCAAGAACTCATCTTGTCGTAGAAGTCGACCTTGTTCTTTTAAGTTGACCTAAACATTGAAAAAATGGGATTAACTTATGTCATGACCTGTCATATGGAATAAACTATTTAACATCAAAACATTTCAAAAGATTGTTTGTTTGTTTTAGACAAAGTTAAATTGGGCTATGTGCTGTGTTAACCAGGAGGAATTGAATCCTGGGTCTTAGCCATGTAAGTCCATAAATGTATCGTCCTTCCACTGGGAGATACAAAAGATAACATGTTCACATTTGAGGAATATATGAAAATGACTGCTTTTGGAAACAACCATTACAATCAGATAAATGACACGCTCCTATGGCTCAGTACAACCCAAACATTAAGAAACTGACATATCTAATAGATCTGAACATATCTTTGGTCTAAAAGATTTCCTTTATAATATTTTCAAATTACTATGTTTAAGTCAACCAAATGTCATTCAATTTTAAGAGGGTTTGGTTTAGAGAAATTAACATTTGACTGGTTATTTCTATCAATTTCATCTGGTTTTCTTCTATGTTGTACAAGATTTTTGTTTTTGTGCATGAGGTCCTGATGAATGACGCATCACAAAATGTGAAATGTTACCTTACTCTGAGCTTGTATTATAGACACAGGCTTAAACGTTCTGTGAATCAACTTACGTCACACTCTCTGAGAGCATCCATTGCCAACAGATCATTCCCATGTCGTAACTGAAACTTCACCATTTCTTCCGCTGCCTGTGTTTCAAAAAAAGAAAGAAAGAAAGTAGTATTATTCAAGCATTTTTTCTACTTTTCATGGAGTTCGAAATTAAATGATATACACTAGGTATTTGTACTATAATTTCATGTACATTCTTATATACAAAGATAATTAACAATCTCAATGAATTACCAAGATGGAACTTCTTTATGATTAAATAGTTGTTAAAGGGTTCATAACTTTTATTAACCAAGAATGGATTTGTACTAACAAAAGCTCTCTTACACCATAATGATTACCCATACCTTTAGATCCTCATGCTCAGGTTCACATTCTGGGCATTCCTTAAGCAATTGTTTCAAAAGAAGAGCATATTTTCCCATCCTCTGGACGGGCTTCAGCAAGTAGCTAGCTAGATCCATTTTATCACCCAGTTCCAGCTGTTTTTTCTATGAGAAAAATATCATTTCATATAAAAAACAATGTCACAGTTAAACAGATCAGCAGCTCCTTTATATCATTGTACATAAAATAAAGTAGTTCTGTCACCATAAACATATTAGAACAAGCTTTAGGTACTTATAGAAAGATTATAGTTATCAAATTCATATTCACTTGAGGCACTGACTAAACTGAAAAAATAAACAGCTCAAAACCTTATTTCACAAACAACAGACAGTAATTCTCAATCAATACATATTTTTAATGCTTGCCAGTTTGTAATGTTGACCACAATTTCTAGCTTTAGCATTTTTAATACTCTTTCTTTTGAATCTCATTTAACATTCAAAAAAGATTATATTGGTGACAAAATGATAAACTATAAAATAACTACTTTCAATATGTAGTCAATAAATTCTAAAGTTCTGCACTAACATTCAGGAAAAATAAGCACTTGCAGGGTGATTTTCACATGTGTTTCATACTTTTCTCATCTTTCACTTGTTTAAAGAATTTTTTATCTACAAATATATAAGTTCAGAAATGACAGTTTTATCTCATGAATTTTCTTTTTTACAAGGTGAAAACTATCTTACCTTGAAAAATGTGTTTCCATATTCAGCCATCAGTGCTTCTGACTTTGGTTTATTCTTGTTGTACAATGCATAAAGGTAAAATTGAGTTTCCTGAAAAATTTTAGAATAATGAAAAATGTAATATTTTGTTACAAGATTACTTGAGTAATTTCTTGAAAAAAAAAATCAACAATACTTTTTTACATAATGGTAACTTTTCATACATATATAGATATCCATTCAAGTATCTTCCAAATAAATAAAGTTTGAGAATTCAATCAAGGTAACTTGTGAAAAAAGTTAAAATTAAAAACAAGAATAAATCAGAATAGTAGCATAAAGCTACTGAAACATGTAGTCTTTTATTGTTGGTCATCAGCCAAATAGTTTTTATTGTGCATTTTAAACGTTATTATTACTTTTAATTTTAATAGATTAAGTTTGTAATTTCTGATGCTTTATTATTTTGTGCCAAGTTGTTAATAGATATATATATATATATTGTTATGACAGTGGAAATCACGCGACGCTGGAGTTTCCAGAAGGATCATAAATTATCGAGGAACCCAGCGAATGTCAGAGTGTTTGCCAGGCGCCCTCTTTTTTAGTAAACCTAGTTTGTACCTAGTCTTGCTCACTAAATTAAAACAATGCAGTGACTTGTTATGATGTGTCATTATGAAACCTTCTATACTAATAAAGAAATATGATGTAGTTGGATTGCAATTATGCACCTAGTTGGTATTTATGCATTAGAATATGTGGAACTCTTGCATTCCACAGAACCCGAGGGTTCTGCAGAATCCTGTTTGAGAAGCATTGCCCTAAATGATAAGCATATTAACCAATTTGGCATATATCATGAAAATAACTGTCTTGTTTGAAGGAAAGTTTTCATTGCTTTTTCCTTGTGTTATATTCAACTCTTAATAAAATATATATTTTATAATTATGTTAAATTTACAGTTCCCTGTACTACAGGAATATTCTTCCCGTTGGCATGTAATTACAAGTTGAATTTCAAAACAAAACTAACATTGACGTAAGCATCAGTATTTGTTAAGTTTCCAAAAGTCACAAACTCAAGAAACTATTGATTTAAAATCTTTAAAACAACTCTTCTTTAAAATGTTGACCTTAAGAGGATTCCATGAAATAACTTCTTATACAATTATGGATTTCTGCAGTTCGATACTGGGGAAATAAAATATTTTAGAAGGCAAAAAACTCTGTAAGCATGAATAGAAAATGTTATAAAAATGGCTCAGACTACAGATCTTACTTATCATATCAGAAATATAATAGATTGCTATCTAATTCCTGCATGATATTCTGAAAAGTACTACTTATAGTGTATCAGATCTCGTATTTTTTACAACTTAAAAACTAGATACTTACATAAACAAGGAAACACTGGCCAACAAGAAATGGAAAATTCTCACAGTTCTCAAGCTGACTTAGAAAATACTGGTTGTGGAACTCGTAAATCTTCTCAATGTTCCCAAAAATGACATTTCGCTGACCTCGTAAGACTTGTGGAATGTCTTCTCGTAGCAGTTCAGGTATATAATTCTGGTTAATACAAAATTATATTGTTCATGTTTATTTTACAAAAAAGTGAGCAAATATATCAGTGTTTGTACTAATAATGAGAAAAGTAGAATAAACCATTATGTAGTTCTATAATGGAAAATGTAATATATTATTGTTTCGTGTTACTGTACAAGATGTAATATGAACATATGGCAAAATTATTTCTAAAATAAAAACATATAATTGAGTTATACATTTTTAAACAATGATGAATATTGATATTCAACATTATTAATCAGAGTATAAGTTAAAAGGGCATGACACGTGGTTCATTTCAGATTTATTCAATGAAAAGATTTTTCATTTATCCAGAAGTTTACTAAAACTTTCATGGAAAACAGTGTTTCATTTTACATACCTCAATTATATACTCCAAGGATTTGACATAGTCCTGCTCTGTTTGAATCATTTCTCTCATGATGTGCAATAAGGTCCTGAAAAATAACGTTTCTATTGGAATTTGAATGTTGACTTACTTTTAACTTAAACTTAATTACATTTACATACATAAGCATCAACATTAGTGAACTTCATAAAAACAATGATGAAGCTGACAGAATATGAAAGCCTTTTATATTAGTAGGTGTGATAAAATATCACCAAAATTTACAATAATATTCATTAGTTTTCTTCTGGTTGCCTATCATAACCAAAAGTTTATTTTCTTATATGCTAAATTTTAGACAAAGTTCAAACCAACAATAGAAAGGCACTTTACATTAAGTGGTTATTATAAGCAATCTTATATTTAATAGCTAATGATGCAAAGTCTAGTAGGTTAAAAATTGAAAACATCAGATATGTTAACCTGTTCTGTTAATTTATTCCAGCAGTTTCTATGCTGGAGACTTGTGAAATGTTTTATGACATTTAGCTAATCAAAACTGGTTACAAGAACAATGAGAGAAGAAGGTTTGGAATGAGCTTGATTGATCTCTCTTAATAAGATGCTAACGGAAAGAAATTCAAAACATGTATTCTATATTCTTAATTAATGAAATGATTACCTAGTAATAATAAACTTGTAAAACAAATTCAAGCATTTTGTGACAACATGTAAAAAAGTGGATGATATGATGCTACAAAAATTACTTACGTCTTTCTTTTTACTTCTTGATCAAGTTCTTTCTGTTCTGGCAGGCTGACACTAACAGTTTTTGTTAAATGGCTGTTAACTGGAACAGGTGAGCTCCCTGGATCTGATAAAGATTGGATCAAAGCACATTTGGGGGAGTAACTCGAACCACTGGATTTCTCAGTTGCTAATACACTGAAAAATTAACTAACATTAAAACTGAATTTAAGTGTATTCAGTGTCAATTAAAAAAAAATCCAACAAACCAAGTTGTTTTTTATCACTGTTAATGTTATAGCTAATATACAGCATGTCTCAAGAAATCAAACACATAATTATTTAAATGAAATAATGTGTCTAAATGTAAAATCTGAAAGTTCCTTTCAATTAAAATGATGTGGTGTTCAATGGAGAGTAGAAAATATAACTGAAATAATTAGCAATAACCTTATAGCTGCAGGGACATTTGATTTTAAAACATAAAAGATAATTTATTGATCAGAGCTCTTTTGCTTTGGAACACACAATGTACGAATTAAGACCGAGATACTGGGGATGCAGAATCATAGTGTACATATAGTCTACTGTCATGGTGAACAAAGTTCAGTTCCTGAAAACCTAATAATTGACAGAATCTTTAAATAAAATGCATATGCATATATTAATGTACAAAATGAACACAAGAGCTGTGGTAAGAAACAGATTTAGAAACACATTATCTTTGTTTAGGTGTTTTGACTTCTCCATTGTCATGCTATTATGATTCTTTTTTCCTTTGTTATTTTAAAGATATATGTGGCAGTAGTATGTATATTAGTAATGTTACTATATTATAAAAATACAGTGCAAACTTGCTGATTCTTATGTAGCTTTACTTGCTAGCCATAAAAAGAAATAATTTTTAAAAAAGATGAACATTATTGTACAGATGAAGTGCCAAATAAGTCTTCTAGCATTAATTAGGTTACCATTTACCTAATTTTATGGAATCAAAGGGAATTCTCCTTTAGTACAAGAAATGTTAATTAGAAAATTATTATTGTAACTGTTTTACTAAAGAAAATATTACAAGTACAATATTATTTTACCTTGAGTCACTCTCCTCAGACTGAACACTTTCTGCTGGTCCTTGATCAAAAGTTAATTTCTCATTCTGTTCCCGAACTTCAGATGTAGCTTTCTGAAGAGCTTCTTCACAGAGTTGCCATGTCTGACACCGTTTCATCAGCTTCTTCAGAGGACGATGATGAGATAGCCCTTCCTTTGAAGAATTCTGAATGGAAGCAGCTCCAGCAACTATACTGCCAATTATTCTGTCTTTCAGTCCGACGAGACTACTCCCACTTGAGCTTTTAACCATACCATAGGCGTGAGTTTCCTTCTGAGCACTGTTACTTCGAGCCTCGAGTTTGCTCAAAGAAATTGATGCCACTGGTCCCTGTGTTGTAAGGTCTTCTGTAATAAATCCTTGACTGACAATTTGGTCTTCTTTGTCATCAATGAAGTGGCTTTGATAACCATCCTTCAATCCTGACATTGGGTGATAGCTGCTTGGAAATGAGGTGTAGGAACCAACGGGACAACCATGATTCTGAGGAGATGAAGTAGCTATAGATCTCCTCCTGTAGAAACCTGATGATGAGGATGAAGGTGCACCAGGTGTGCTCATGTACTGAGGAATCCAGTTATGGTGTTGTTGGAAATTAGCAGCAATGGTTGACTCTGAATCCCACAGGTCTGGCTGATGTTGAAGTACCTCTATTTCTTGGTGCTGCTTAGCCTTCAATAGAATAGCCTGTCTGGTCTGGATTAATTCCATTGCTTCTTGACAACGAGTATGAGCAACCTAAAGAACATAGTTTGTACAAAATGGAAAAGCTAAGTCATGACTTTTCAAAATAAAATAAAAAAATCTGTCAAATTTAAACACTGAACCATTTTTGCTAGTCTATTCACGAGTTTACTAAGAAGTAAAAAAAAAAAAATTAGAGTTGTTTCTAAATGAACATGAGAGAATGTACTTGTGAATTAGGATGACACAAAGCTTGTTTCATGCAACCACTAAAAGGAAGAATTGATACCTTAAAAGAATGATAATGTAAAAAATTAATCTAGTAATAATTCAAATGATACAGTTACAGTACCATCCAAACAAAACCAGCAATGTATTTAGTTCCAAGCTAAGTCTCAGAAAGCTTGTAATTATAGTCGGATATGAAAAATAATCTTACAACTCTGTACTTCAAGCTTAGAATGGTGTCATCTACCCATAATTCAAAAGATTTCTTTGATTACTCTCAAAAAGAGTCAAAATTCATCCTGATAATCCTTTTGAGAATCTTTGTTAGATTTTAATTATCAATTAAAGCAGGTAAACAAAAAATATCATATTCACATTAAAGGGTAGAAACAACATTTGTGATAAATATCCACCTTGCACTGGTCAAGTAGATTTGTATCTTCTAATTTTGTTGCCAGTTGTTCCATTTCCTGAAATGTTTCTTGTGTAATTGGAGGATGATTGTCAAGATAGTCTTGAAGGGACTTCAACATCTTCATTAGATTAGGAGATGTGGGTTCTTCGACTTCCATCTTTGACAAATATTTCATAGCTTCCAAAGCCCATTCATAAGACTACAGGAAGAAAATAAAAATAAAGCTAAGTTTTTAATATACATACATACACACACACACAGATATAATTATATATATATATAAAACAATAATAGACAAAACCTTTAAGTTACTATCAAACTTTAACATAAAAAACAATGCTTTCATAACAAATGTTTTAAGTTTTTTATTCAAATTGAAATGTTTATTCACAATAACAGAACAAAAATATATGGAGATGTTTTTGTTTAGTTTGTTTCTGATATTCACACAAAGCTACAAAGGGTTACCTGAACTAGCCATCCCTAAGTTTAAAGTGATAAACCAGAGGAACTGACCATTACTTTTATAATGCACTCATGCCACAATAGTCCGAGTTTGTGGTAATGACATGCACACCACAGACTCTCGGGTTCACAGTTCGGCATGCTGACCCATTAAGATATGATCAGCTCATACAGGGATGGAAACATTACAATGTGATAAATGAGAATTCTTTACACTTGTCTAAGAACTTGCAATTTACCCTTATAAAACTAGGACCTCATGAAAGATCAAACTTGAACTCAAACCTATTCTCATGCTAGCCATTCACGAATTATTGGCACAGCTAACTGAAACTAAAGTCTATTTTCTAGCTAGCTGCTTAGGAATTAATCATCAATGTGGGCACTCTAGGAAACTGAAAATTAAACCTATTCCTTTACTAACCACTTAAGCATTACACCACTGTGTGTTTTCTGGTAGAGTAAACTAAAACCTAAACCTATGCCTTTGCTAGCCCCTTAGGCAATATTCATCATCATGGGGTTCTCTGGCAGTACTAATAAACAGTTTCTGCTTGGATTAACAGAACTTTCTTATATGCCCCACTTTTTTTAAGTTGTATGTTACCATCTTACTGTTTTTGACATAAGCCAGTATACTACTGAAACACTTGATTTCATTTTAATTTTGTCCATTTTTTTATCATAAGCTACTTAGACATGTTGCATCTACCATAGTAATTAAAAAATGTAACAAGAGATTTTCGATCAATAGTGAGATTTTTGAGAACAGTGATGCTTTTAAACAACAATGGATTGGAACACTCACCAAAAGTTTATGTAACTAATGCAGCTTTAATCAAAACTACAAATAAAGTCAGGTAAACCTTCACCACTGACAGATGCTGTGCAATATAACACTTAGATATTATAATATGTATTACACTCACTCTATCTAGATGACAGTAACATTTGGCAGCATCTTCTAAACGTTCTCGAGTATCTTCCAGGTGCTCTGTAAATGTGTTCAGGTGATCTTTCAAGGACGCTGTAAGTCGCTCCACTTCCCCCTGTCCACTGTCATTGCTTAGAACTGGATAATTACTTGAGCCGTTGGAGATTTTCGGATTGAGTGTGGTGGCGTCTTCCAGCAGATCATTTCCCTTCTCCAGTTGCCGCTGTTAGAGAGAAGTTGAAGCTCGTTTTAAACAGTTATCAGACCAAGCAACAGCTAAAAGGAAATAACTTTCTTCTGCTCGAACATGCTGTGTAATTAACAAATCTTTTTTAAGCGCCTGTGATTTACGATTCAATACACACAGATCATTATCAAGCTCTTGAAGGCTTCAAACCTGAAACTGAGACGTCATTTCACCTTCAGGTTTTGGTATTTACGGGAACAACAAATTAGACTTCTGCAACAATCTTGACGAATTACAAAACAAACCCAAAGAATTTTGGAATAAATTTAAATCACTAACTTCGGGTAAAGATAATAACACAAAGTTTTACCACATTAAATACATCACTGCCAGAAGAGATACGGACAAAGCAAACTTTCTTGCAGACTGTCACGAATCAGCCTTTAGAAACTTACATTCTACCACATTCAACAAAACAAACAAACTATTGATACCCATGCACACTTAAAGTACACACTCCTTGCTTCCCACCAACACTAACACATTATCAGACCATAATGACATACTCAACAGAAAAGTCAATATATGCGAAGTAAAAATCAACATCAAATTACTTAACTTTGCTCCCAGGCATGACGGGATCAGAAACATATCCTCAATAATGTATCAAATAATTTACTCTTACACTTAGCGAATCTAACAAATTTATTACACTAATAGGGTGTTTTCCAGACTCCTGGATGAAAATAACCACCACAGTAATCTCTAAAACTTCAACCAGAACCTCTAATTCTGATAACTACAGGCCAATTAGTCTACTTGGCTGCTCAGGTAAGCTTGTCAAAAAAATAATACTCAACAGACTTCTTTACTTCTACGAAAGTAATAACTTACAGAACTCTTCCCGTAAGAAAAGGCAATCAATCCATAGACAATTTAATCCGACGTACAGAATCTGTTTTCAAATCATTCAACAACAATAAAGCCACCGTAGCAGTCTTTCTAGATGTACGAAAAGCATTTGATACGGTTTGGCACAACGCCGTTAGATTTAGACTCTACTTGCTGGATATTAACAGTGAAATTATCAGATGGATTTCTAACTTCCTAACAGACCACACAGCTCTATTTAAAATAAATAATACACTCTAGTAAACTTAACATCACAACAGGAGTTCCGAAATACCCAGTCCTTTTGTCACTCCTTTACATCATATTCGTCCACATCATACCTTTCTCCGACCTAACATACACCTACCTTTCTCAATATGCAGACGATACTGCTGTTTGGAGCGTATCGCGTAAACCTTTCATATCAGCGGATCTAATTTCAAAAAATCGTTAGACAAGACTACGCTTGGTAGGTTATACTCAACCAAGTCAAAACGCATGGAATTGTATTCCGCAGAAATTTGAATAAACGTTTCCAAAATGCGAAAAAAGTAAAACTGAAATCAGGTAACGTTGAAATTAATCTTTGTACTAAGGTCAAATTTCTTGCTGTTACATATGACAAAAGCCTCACTTGGGGAGAACATATAATGAAGATCAGTGCTTCCATTAGTAAACACATTAACTATTTAAGAGTTATCGCTGATAAACACAAAGCCAACATTATCTTAAAAGCTTATGTTCAGCCTCTTATTGAATATGGGTGTCACATTACATACAACATGTCTGACAACACCCTTAAATAACTACAAGTACAACAAAATAGAGTATTAAAGTTAGACCTAAGGCTCTCCAATTCTACTCCTGCTAGTTACTTACATAAAGTAAGTAACCTACCATTTATAATAGATTTATATGTTGGTACAAAATTATTATCGTAATGCAGAACCTTCACATAATTTCAGGCGTGTCACATAAAAGAATATCTACATTCAACTATTACTGCAGACAAATAAAGAGAACATGCAGCCATACATACAATTCCTTGCACTCGTTTTAATTAAATATGTTGTTTTGCAGATGGGGCACAGGACAAGTAGATTATTCAGCGCCTGTGTGTCTTCATTGGAGTTTCATGATATGGGATTTATAATTCCCAACCAACCTGTGAATCCTGACCTTCCGTTCGTCAAAAACTGTCGCTTATCGAGATAACAACAGAAGCCTTCTCTTTGCCTTCTGCCAACTCTCCCTTTTCAGGTTTAGACCGATATACTGCCAAATAGAACTCCTTTCAGTATACTTGTTCAACTAAAAATTCTCTCCAGCTAAACATAATCAACACGAGCGGAGCGAAGGGGGATATTAATATCCCTCAATCGCTACAGCTGGGGAAAGTTTCTTTCCCTAACCACTAAACACCTGTCACGTTGAAACTAACAATACAAAATATGTAAGTAAATGCGTCGTTCAAATCTCGCCGGACTGAGAATCAGCATCTATGTTGCAACACGGTTTCTGGGTGTTGTGTGAATTCTATGCTCTGAAAGTAATAGCACTAAAATACAGACCTGTTATAATCTTGTAAGTTGTACATATATGAATAAAACCAATTTTTCATATCATTTTCATTTAATATGTTTGTATGTTTATATGACCGTAAAGTAAAACAAGCACCAGATGTTCAGCAGTCGTAGACGGAGTTGAAAGGGGTGGGCTAGAGTTTTGGTTCAGCATCAAGACACTTACAACAACAGATTTCTTACTCTGTTACAGGTGCACAGATTGCCGCTGGGTTTTGACTTCCCAACTTAAATCTGTGAAAAGAAACAATAGCACGTTTTGAGCCACGCTGAGCACGTGCCCGATAAGCACCTTAACAAAGCCGAGCACATCTGGCGGACTGTTAGTGGTAGTGTATTGGGTATTAGTGCGGTGGGGTATGTCTCCGCATCTCTTTCACGTATTATAGCACGGAGATTTACAAAGTGTGTGTGTGTGTGTGTGTAATTTGCCCTCCCTTCTACTACGAAAGAGCAGCTTTACGTAGTAACACGTGCTCGTAACATACTAATTAATTCTTATGGGCCACTGGATATTTCGTTATGGCCTCATCAAGACAATTAATCTAAGTGAAGGCTTTTTACTTCTGCAAACACCGTATTTCTTAAAAAAAAAAAAAAAAAAAAAAAAAAAATAAAGATATAGCGCAATTCCGAGGTTTATATTCTGTGCGCTTTTATTTTCATCACCATTAACGTTGGCACCCCCACTGAATTTTGTACGAGATATCATTGGACTAGTACGTTAAAACAAACTGACCAACATCACTAAAAGGACTATTTAATTACTTGTGAACTTGACTGTTTAACTGGTCACAGAAACTATTAAAAAAAACTAGCTTATACATCTGCGAGTAATGACCATATTTTACTTTAACTGTTTAGTTTAGTTTTAATGCAAGGCCGAATTGGACTATCTGCTGTGTCCACCAAGGGGAACTGAATCCCCATTGTAAGTCCGTATACTTACCGCTTTCCCGCCGGGGGAATATTTTTATCGGAAAAAAGTGCCCCATAATCACTTTAGGCCATTTGAAAAAAATAATAATAATCACACACACAAATATACATACACACACGCATAAGGGCAAATACATCAAAATTTCACCCTCTTCCCTAAAGGTTATTTAAAATGGTTGAAAACCGTCTTTCATTCGGCAACTGTAACACAACTATGAGTTAACCACGCGACTGAAGTCTCAGTGGTGAAAATGTGCTCTGTTTCCAGGCTAGTCGAGCAGAGAGAAGTGAAGAAATGTGGTCACGCGACTGTTGTATTCTGTAAATTTCTACATCACCAATAAATAAAATATTTATATATCGTTATAAACATTTTGGTCCTGGAGAAACAGATAATTCTAATGTTGCTTCCTGCTACTAATACATAATCGATGTGTATGCACTCAATCAATTAAATTTCACCCAAATAGTTGAATTAATTCACTTGCTTGTTCAATGCCACAAATCACGAAATGTACTTAAAGTTGTGCAGTAGATAAACCGTTCAGGAACGAGTACTGCGCTCCACTGGCTCACGGTTCCCGTCTAAGGCCAGAGTTTGGTCGGCCGGGTCACAGCGCGTTATTAAAACCTTCTTTCTGAAACAGGTGCCACAGCGTCTGACACTCGTTTCTTTCTCAGGTATACAAAGCGGCGCCATATGGGTTTTAAAACGAACAGCTGTCTCGATAGTCCAGAGTAAAAAAAAGATGAGAGAACGCTATCGTTTAGGTAATGGACACTTCTTTTCTCATTGTACGCAAGTGTAAAGCACTTCCTGGCCTTCTCCGTACCCTTGGTGGTTAAGAGCACATCAGTTACTAGCACCTATTTACAAGTAATTCAAGTATAACCAAAAGAAAACATTTATTAACTGAAGTACCATAGTATAATGTTAGATACAATGTACAAAGTTCAGGTAAAACGTTATGATTCAAAGAAGTTGTGACTTCTAAAATTTTAACTTTTTTTTTTTTAAATCTCCAACTGCCGTTTTGCGTTTCTGGGACACGAATTTTTTCCCCCTCATTAAACGTATCTTTACAGAATGAAAAAAAAAAAGCATTCAGTTGTATCTGCCAATCGAATAAATACTAAAGGACTTTAAACAGTCTTACACACTAGCAATGAAAAACACTTTTACAGCTGGCGAACAAGAACAGCAGCTGACAGCACAGTCAGGGCTAACTTGAAAATAAGATGTGCATTTCACTTCAAGTCCAACCTTGATGATTAACTTTACCTTGAAACGTGCTACGCAGAGGGTACCCGCGGCTTAAAATTACCGCCATTTTCTTGAGAATGAGTAACTCTGTTCCCTTGACTACCTACTGTTTCGGCCAAAACTATCCAGCTTCCTTAGTAACTGTGTTAAAATTACATCTGTTTGATTTTTGTAACTATATTGGCTGTATATATATGTATAAGTGAATCTTTTTTTTTATCTTATAAATGAATTTATACTCAACAATAACCATCTGTTTATCCCTTTGGCTATCCTGTACCCAGATCTTCAATCTATCTAATGGAATTCCTGTGATCGAACAATTTTTGTGATATAGGCTGAAATAAGATTGTCTATTTAAGCTCATTCGCCTGATAATGTTTGAGTGAGAAAATATATGGGGTTCTCATAGACTGTCTACACTAACCCACACTTTCGTATTTTTAGTATATATATATTAACTTCTGATCAGATCAAACTATGTACTTAGAGCGAAATTAAAAATTAACCTGGCAATCAGTGCAGCTAATTACATATATATTTTTTACGTTCCTACTTATAATGTACGTATGTACATGGTATAGTCAGAACAACTAGTAATGGAGCAAACGTCAGGATCCAAAGGCATTATTATTAATAATTTAAAAGCTGATTTATTGGGTAGTCTTGGTTGTTATCCGCAAATGTACGAAATCCTGAGCTAATAAGTAGCTTATAAGTAGTGAAACTGAAAGGAAATTCAAGTACATAATAAGTATATTCAAGTATATACAAAGTCTATAATATTTTATATCTGAGACGAACATCAGCGACAATGGCATGAAAGAAAACATTTAAAGCTTGTAATTGAAAGAAACTTGGTTCTAAATGATGTCACAAGAACTTAGTCACGACTTGCAATTCTGCCACGCTGGGCTCTCGATATCTGGTGGAGGAGCAACTACCTTAATGTACATAGTTTTAACATGTTGTTTACATAGTACAATCCTTGTGTATATCAAAAAGAGACCATTCAAACTCTTACCGTTTCTTGTAATTTCGCCTCATCTGCTAATGTATCATCTTCTTCACGTAGTGAAAGATTACGCATTACTTCTAAGTTTGTTGTGCTGTTGGTCCGTTCATATTGTTTCTGCAATGAGCACAACTGAACTACCGTGATCACAGAGACTTGTTAGGAACGTTGGAAAAGGCCCCGGCCCACTCTGCGGCGGTTTTATAGCTCGGGGGGAATTTGAAACCTTGTTGTCATGACAACCCACGCTTAAATTTCATAAGGTGAACATACGCACTTAAGAATCCATTTTCTTCAGAAATTTAATATCAACTGGTTCCAAACTTGACAGCTACAGTCTAGTTCTGAATTAAAGTAGTTTAGAAACATTTACATGAGAATGAGGAAAAAACAGTAACGTCAGTTTAAAAACAAAAAGCATCACCTAACCCTAGAGGGTGCGTTTTACTCCCATCAGACTTCGGTAATGAACTGTCGAGGAGCGAGCCCAAACCAACCACGTGCGAGATAATAAAACCTAGCGATTACCAGCAGAATATGAATTGTTTCTGGACTGGACTTTGTTTTCGGACGTTATTTTATCAGGCTTTGATAATACATTTTTCTTAATAATTGTTTGAGAAATGTCATATGCAATACTGTTTGCACTTTATGTTAAAAGTATATTAGTGTTATAAGGAGTAGCCAAACTTCTACGTTTTGGGTCTTTAGTTTAAAACAAATTAAAATGTTAATTCACAGTTAATACCAAGTTGACGACTGTTTTCAGCAATCAGATCATGCATAATGGTAAAGGCATTTGTTTCCCAATGTACGCGATATGACTCCTGCTCGCATATTGAGTGTACTTTTTAAAGTTTTGGATGATACAGTACTCACGAGTTACCGGTTATTATTCATAACGTTTACTCCTTGACCTTAGTTTAAAATGCAAAAAAGAGAAAAGAAACTTATTCAAGCTGGTGACGAATTTAAAGAATGAATATATAGATATTAATTAGAGCGTATATACACTGGATAATTTTTGGAATGGAATTTATTATCTAACATTTTTCTCTCTCTCTCTCTGGGATAGCAGAGTATATTTAATTTTGAATAAACATATGTGCATTACCATCTTCTTACGACTATCGGAAATAAAAGCAATTTCGCCCAAAACGTCTCAATAAAGCCATAAAAATACAATATAGATATTTAGTTTTATTAATTTTATTTAGGGTGTCAAATATTTCAAGCAGGTATTCGAAGCGGCATCGGTTTCATTCATTCGGTTTCAACTGTCATTATCGAGTGAAATTAGATCCTTTTGTTTCTAGAGTTTGTTTATTTAGCAAAACCTACCTGTTCACCTTAACATGTGGGCTAATTATCTATAATGTCTCTGCAACGGTTACACGATTTGGAGGATTTTTAAAACTTGAAATATGTCAAAATTTTAGTTGGAAATAAAATGTCTCTAAACGTTTCTCGTCATAAAACGGATTAATATATTTTCTTGTAATTTTGATACCAGTAAAATTAAGTGGAGCTGTTATATTTGTTATAATTCACAACGCGTCTCAGCTGATAGTAAGGTACAGAAGCATTACTGAAACTTTACGACGTTTTATTCTGAAGCAGGGTAGTAAGTGTTAACGTACTGTGATGCAACATTGAACGGATGGGTGTACTGGTAGTAAGCATTCATGTAATGTTGCAGTAGTGGAAAGGCAGCACCTACACAGCGCCATACATGTTAATAAAAGCTGATGATGTGAAAAGCGCTTCGACCACAACTATGTCTGTCATATCCCTGCCGGCCTAATGAGCCCTGGTATTAAGCGAAAGGCCTCGTCGGTACTGGATATGGTGGATATAGTGTAGTTTACATACTATAACATATGCTTCTTTACTTTCACTTACATGTGCACAACGCTAATCTATACCTAGTGTTGTAGTACTGTACAGGCAGCACCTATACAGCTAGTGAAAGCACTGCGCTACACTACAAGTGGAAATGTAAATTATATTTATTTTCTTGTTTTTTGACGGATCTTACAAACACACTAAGAGCAAATAAGAATTGCAATATTTACGTGCATGTAGTAGAGGGTTTGTGTGCACAATGTGAACTACTGAGTTCGACTAATGTTGACCGATTTAGTAAACACTGGAGCCAATAGGAACGTGCAATATTTTCAGCGGTGTGCACGTCACCAACGTGACCAGAAGCATAGATTTTGACTTCATTTCTGACCCATTGTTACTGTATTCCATAAATACTCAGTAAATTACACTAATACAAACATAAAGCCAAGATAGAAGTAAAATAGTAAAGGTATAAGAAATTAAATGTTTTCAATCAAACAATTCATAATTATTCCGTGGATATATTGATTTCCGAAATTTCGTCTTTAATTTCGTGGTATAACTGTGGAACGTTAAAATGTCGGTAATAAAAAAACGTTCACACTGGCTATGAAAACCTACTTTTATAGAGATTGCATTAGTAATCTCCGCTTCTCGTCTGATCGTCTTCAGACTTAAGTCCTACAACAGTAAGTTAGGGCTGAGGTATTACGTGTCCGTTGAAATAACAGTTAACCTCAGATATAAAGTACTAAACAATACGGGGTAGGCTTAACGACCACTCGATCTATTAAACCGGTGATTGTGATTACAATAGGTGTTTAAATACGTTATACATAAATTCACCTAGTAAATTAGATGCTTTGTAGATAGCTACACGATGATTCTCCTTGTCCAGTACACAAAACTGTACCTTTTTAACATCGCTATTGGTAGGAAACTGTTCAGCTGTTACTTTTTTGTGGCTCACCCTGTACAAAGACTTGAGAGGTGTGCTACTCTAGGTTTACATGTTGATGTCGTTATGGGCGTGATGTGTGAAATAAAAACAGCAGTCAGTGTGGGAGCACAGCTTGCTACTTGACGTGTAACCAGTTTTACAAGTGATAAGTGATAAAGAAACCTTGGCCATCATCTTGCCATTCACACTATACTGCTAAACGACCATCGCTAATCTGGGTTCAGCCCACGAACACAATCATTGTCTCATAATATATTCATTGATGTAGTGAAGTACAAAACAAACGTAGTATAAAGTCTTAATTCTATATTCTAAAGAATATCAATGCTATGTTTTACTTGAAATTGTATCATGGCTTTGAAACTAAAATAAACGTTTCTGCTTTTTTCTTCTCTCTTTTAATTCGGTCACAGAAGCCCACTTGATGTTGCCCACACACTGAACTTTCAGATGAACCCCCCTCCGTGGTTCACAAGTATGAGGGCTTTTAACGCTAAATTTAGGTTTCGATACCTGCCGTGGTCACAGCACTTAAACTTATCGTATAACTTTTGTGCTTAATGAAAAACAAACAAGTGTAGCAGACGTGCGGGTTTCAACAACAAACGCTAACACAGGTGTTTTTTTACATTTAGTTTCACGAGTTTTTAATGGTTTTTTTGGACGACAAAAAAGAAAAATGTCAACTTTGAAATAAAATCACACTTATATGGATCACATATTATACACAGCGACCTAAAGCTCTGCCACTACGGCTATTCTCATAATTCCATTAAAAAAGGGGGAGAAGCAACGTATTACACACACACAATAGTACTTCTACATAATTGAAATGTATTCTAAAACGTATTGCTTTGGTGAAGTAAAATGAACTTGAAACATTCACACGTGTAGTCTAAGAAAAGCATCTGCGTTTCGCAAAAACAAAAACAAAGGAATACACACACACACACACATTATATCTAGACTTCTTAAAAAATACGTAAAATGAAATTTCTGTTCATATTTCAGAAGTATATATTAATTTATTACGTGTAGCCGAGCTTAGCCTTGAAAAAGTGACAGTAATAATTACAAAAATGTTTTTAAATTAAAAACTAAGAGTGCTTTTGGGTTTCCTCGGGAAGTTTTACCATTTAATTTTGGATGTATAAAAAGTACTAGGGAACTCTTATAAATGCTCATATCCTGCAAAATGTTCAGGGTTGAGTTCATTCCTTTATTTAACACTACTAGGATAAACACACCCTTACTTACCATCGCTAAGAAATAAAACTTCTCGAACTCCCCTTCTTGCTCTTTAATAGTAGGCAAGGAATCTGCAAGAACTTGCTGTCTGTCGAGCGTCTCCTGCCCACTTTGGCACAGCCATTCCAACACCTAGCGGAGAAAATGAAAACACTTTTAATCAAAGTAATTCAACAACTCTCGGTTCACTACACTATGCTATATTAAAACAAGAAAATGTCCTGTCAAAGAGATTTAATAATGTTACTATGAAATGACAATAAGCTAACTCTATACACCGAAATAGAAATTAAAGCATCATACCTATTACTTGCTAAAAGTCTGATTACACGTTCGTTTTAATGATCTTTAGTTGGTTTCTCTCTAAAAATGTCATTAGCAACAACTGTTATGTCTGATTTTTCTTCTTCTGGTGCTTCACACTGTTCATGACAAAACAGTTGATTTTTTAATAAAAACCATGTTCCATTAGCTTCTTAAGTTACCAATAAAAGCCATGTTTCCTTAGCTTCTTAAGTACGATTGCGACAAATCAACTACAAAATGTTAGAATTATGACTAATAATTGGTTTGTTGGCAAGACATTTTTTTGTGGTAAACCCAAGTATTTCACACACGGATGTGTTATTTAAGGAACAATATTCCATCAAGTTCAACAAAGAAAACCAATACCAAGAACTTTTTAATGTGCTAGTAAAAACACAATCTGTCAGCCATATATATCAATATAACTTGACCTACCACATATAATATACACTAAATGCGTACAATCGCTTCATTACAGAAAATATAGTGTTTCATAATTATCTTGTAAATCGGGTAATAATTATAATTGTACTTGCATTTTCGTCAGCGTCTGTGCCTTTTGAATGATAAGTGATCACACACAAAGTCAAATTTCATTTTATGGACTTCATAACTAAACAGATAAATACTTATACACGTGTGTGTTTTGTTATAGCAAAGCCACATCGGGGTTATACGCTGTCCACCTAGAGGATTTGAACCCCTGATTTTAACGTTGTAAAACGAAGACTTGCCGCTGTCCAACCGGGTGACAAATACATATACACAACATGAACTTACATATGAGCTGACAAATAAATACATATACACAACATGAACTTACATATGACATGATAAATACATACACACAACATGTACTTACATATGACATGATAAATACACATACACACACCATGAACTTACATATGAGCTGACAAATACATATACACAACATGAACTTACATATGAGCTGACAAATAAATACATATACACAACATGAACTTACATATGAGCTGACAAATAAATACATATACACAACATAGAACTTACATATGAGCTGACAAATAAATACACATACACAACATGTACTTACATATGAGCTGACAAATAAATACACATACACAACATGTACTTACATATGAGCTGACAAATAAATACACATACACATGTACTTACATATGACATGATAAATACACATACACAACATGTACTTACATATGACATGATAAATACATATACAACACGTACTTATATACGATTTGATAATTAGATAAATAAAAGCGTATTTGTATATGAACTGATAAATAATACACAACACATATTTATATGCGAGTTCATAATTAAATAAATACACATACATAACATGTACTTACATATGATATAAATAAATACACACGTACTTATATATGAGCATATAATTAGATAAATAAATACACACACACAACATGTACTTACACGATATAAATAAATACACATACACATGTACTTACATATGACATGATAAATACATACACAACACGTACTTATATACGATTTGATAATTAGATAAATAAAAACGTACTTGTATATGAACTGATAAATAATACACAACACATTTATATGCGAGTTCATAATTAAATAAATACACATACATAACATGTACTTACATATGATATAAATAAATACACACGTACTTATATATGAGCTTATGCACACGTACTTATATATGAGCTTATAATTAGATAAATAAATACACACACACAACATGTACTTACACGATATAAATAAATACACATACATAACATGTACTTACATATGATATAAATAAATACAC